AAGGAAATTCGGCAGAACTAAAGTATTTCCAAGTGTCTCATTCACTAAACAGCAACAGATGTTTATATTGCTTATGCTGATTAGAGGTTATTCTAAAAATATTTTTTCACTCATTTTCTTAGAATTTTGCCTTTATGTACTCTATGTTCCATGGCCACTGTCCTTCAAACAGAAAGGTGAAAACTGTTACAATGCCCCGAGTAAATGCAATTATAACTCTCTATCCTTCCGCAAGGAAAAAAAAATCACCTACAGAGAAATTAACAATTAAAATTTGGTATCTACATTTGAAAATCAATCCATCGTAGCAGCAAGATCTGCCATCAGAACAATGTTTTTTAAATCTTTTAACATGTATGTGTGTTGAATACCTGTTTTGCTTCAGGTCTTGCCCAGGTCTGTGAGCCTCCCTCTTCTCCCAGAAGCTCTCTCTCCTGTAGGAAACATCTCACGTGGTTTGGTGGGACACACTCTGCCCCACTCAAAGCTTTGTGCATAGAAGCCAGCGTGGGAAAACTAAGTCAGCCCCAACTACACAGTGTTGTTGTGACAATGGTGTGTGGGTGTGACAATGTAGTTGTGACAATGGTCACAGATGGTCACCAGGCTTAACCAGGCCAGTGGTAAATTCTCCCCAGGACTTTTCTCCCAGTCATCCCAGAAAACTTCCTCTTTGCACTCAGACTGCTAAGCCAGAAGGGTAGGTCAGGTGCTTGCTGTAGGTCCTCTCCTTCACTGCGAGGCAGCACCTCCATATAGAATAAAGTCAAGCAGAAATCAGCAGAGCCAAGATTTGAGCAGAGAGTCAGGAAGAAATACAGCTCTGATTACAGGCCTGTGCTTGGGATCTGTTAACATGAAGCCAGTGCCCCTGTATTTGCTAAACAAATAAACCACACAATTCCCCTTTTGGTTTACTGTGTTCCTGGAATCTACAAAACAACAAAGCTCTGACTACTCAACATACAAAACCCCCAGTTACCACACTACCATTTCTTTGGGCCTCAATTTTTAAATAAAACAATAGGGTCAAATTAGATGCAGATATTAAATTGAATAATCTCTAGGATTTCCCTCTTAATGTGTAAATGTACTATGTCAGTTGGAATTTTTGTCAATGAAATGTCTGTGTTTGACTTTAGGCTGTAAAAATTGCTAGCATATAAAAAAAGATGCACAATACTTTTAGGAACATCTGTACTTAATTCTTACGTATTACTCACATGAAGTTTCTTTAATTAGGTCAAAATACCAGTTTTTAAGATCTTCATAGAAAAAGATAAATAATTTTTTTAAATAAAATCTTTGTGACAGCACTTTCAATTCTGTTAAAACAAATCAGGTTGCCCCTAATTCAGTAACTAAATCTTACCAGCAGTCACAATCAGAGATTTAAGAGCTCATGCACAGAAAAGTACAAACCATTCGTAGAAGTGTATTCAAACTGAAATTTCATTTTATTAAATGTTTTCTTAACTAAATTCTGACCTCTAGGTAGATCTCAAATTTACAATTCTTTAGAAATGGTAAACAGTTATGATATAATCAAATACAAAAACTATATGGCATTCCACCAAAATAGCTTGACAAAACATGCTATGAAATGAAAACATATACTATTTTGAATAATTAAAGCTTTACTACAACTTTTCTGTGTCTGTAAAGATATAAATAAAAGTGTTATAAAATTGTTCTTATAAATACAATTCTCTCTTTTTTTTATGACTGTATCCAGAGTTCTCAGGACCGTGCATCTGGCGCACAGCATTTATTGGGTGACAAAGGATGGGACAGGACCGGTGGAAAAGGGAGAGCAACTGAGGAGGGCAAAGGAGGGACAAGGCTTGGTGAGATGAAGGAGGAGGTAAAGGAAAAGATAGAGAGAGAGATGGGAGGAGAGGGGAAAGCTGATTAGTCTGGGGAGAACCTGAGGAAAGGGCATCCCCCTAAGAGACAAGGGGATGGCTGGCCAGAGCCTGGGGAGGGAGGAATACAGGGATGCCACTTGAGCTTGAGGAGGTGACCTCAGAAGGGAAAGGACAGGGATGGGGAAGAGGGAAGCAGAAAGAAGGCAGGAAGAAAACCAAGGGCAAATAAAGAAACTTGGTACCTTCCTACCTACCTGAGCACTTATCATACCTGGAAGTTATGTCATTCTGCATGTAAATACTATTTCAAATCTTAATATTCCTATTCCATTCCAATAAAAGTATTTAATATATTAATAAGTTCATTACAATTCATATTATACATATACATTTATCTGGATACATGAATAAATTAATAAAAATAGAATATTATTACATCATTTTTATTACATATTTTTAAAGCTTCATCTTTTAAATTTAGAAGCATTAGACAATGTACTGAAACTTCAAAGACTTTACTTGCTGAGCACCAATAAAGACATTCAATGGCTAATTTACACATTTTCCCCAACCAGAGCAATACTACATTCTCTACGCCCCTTAGCAGCAAAACGATAAGGACCATTACCATTTCCTGGGACCATGATGTTAGAGCTTTAGTTCTTTCTTTTCTGGTTATTTCCCTTTGCTAAATGTGCCTGTTTGGTAGAACTTCTTCCATCCTTTCTGTCATCTTTGTCTCTGGATGTCATTTTACCAGAAATATCCTTTATATTTGTTGATTTTTTCCTGTTTTCCTTGGCTTTAGAACCTTTATCTAGTCCCACTTTCTCCTTTTCTCTGTCCTTTTTACTCCTCGGGGACTCTTTCCTGGATATATCAGAATCAGCAATTTTCTTGTCCTTCCGGTCGTCCTCTTTTTCTTTCTTCCCCTTTTTTCTCTCTTCATTCTTACTTTCCTTTCTTGACTCTGGCTTCTCCTTTTCCTTCTTAAGCTCTTCTTTAGTGAATTCTTTAACATTCAAGTTATCCAATCAAAGGAAAAAATGTTTATTGAAAGAATCTTAATTCATAGGACAGAAGCTTAGTGCAAAAGCATTGTCTGTTTTTAAGTCTCTCCCCACACATAAAATGATCATTCAGAAAGTGACTTTAATATACTACTTTTAAGTTGGTTAAAAACAGATGCTAACCTCTATAAAGTATCGGTTATAAAAGAAATTCTAGAATCTTGTTGTCATATTTTTCCAGTTTAAAATATGGTATAATTTGTCTTAAAACAAGGTTAACATGCAATATTACTCAAATGAGTGCGTCCATACAGGCAGTACTTTACAATGTTAACAAACTCACATTTTGCAACTATAACAACATAATTAAAGGAACACTGACAACATAAGCACAAATTTTCCATAACTTGCAAGTATTCTCACAGATAATTTTAAAATTTTTACCCCTAACAAAAAAATTATGTCCTTAAAATATTTGTGCTTTTAATCCTTGAAAACAACATAATGAAAAATTAAATTCCATTTAATTTTTAATTAAGAAAAATATAATATCCATTGAGTATAAATATTTAAATTCATTATCTATAATATCTAAAATGACAGGAAAAATTCTTTTCTGCTCATATTCAACATTATAAAATCAGTATTCCTTTAAATATGTTTCCTGTTAATTTATGTAGAACCACTCAAGCCAATATTTATATATGTTGTCCATGCTTACAGGGAAGAAAGCAATTCAATGGAATATACAGGTAATTCCAAATCTCATATAAGATATTGCTTTCAACTTGCTTTACATAATGTTTAATAGGGCCGCTAGATAAACATGTAAATTTCACCTTCTTGCTCTCTCATTAGGAAATCATAAGACAAGCAAAATATTTCTTTAATATAATAAAATATGGAAGATGTTTTAGCCCACAAAAATCATGTAAAACTCACACAGCGCAAAACATTATTCAGTTCCTCCCGGAAAATCTTATTAAAACTTGTAAAAATGCAAACTAGCATTCACAAAGAATCAACCATCCGAGGCCTCATCTACTTCAGTACTATTCACAGAGCAACACAGATAACAACACGGAAGGAGCAGGAAGCCTGTGCAATGCCGTCAGGTCTCATTCGGCATACTGCTTTTAAAATATTAAATCTTTAATGCTTCCTGTGCCTCTCTAGATCAAAACAAAATTATACTTTATTGGCCATTTATTTAGTAATTACTTATGTAAGAATAAAATAGTGAAAATTCTGCTTTCTTTCCCAGAAAGTATTCAGGTGAGATACAAAGTTAAAACATTAAAATTTCCTAATCTTAAAATTAAACTACAAATCACAAAACCCTGCAACTCACATAGTGAAAGTCTCAGCTATTAATGTTTCACCAAAAGCATATAAACAAACTACAATTATGACAAGCAGTTAAGCAAAAAAGAATATTACAAATTTATTTTTTTTAAAACCCATGCACTTCCCCATGCTCCTCTCTGTGAAGGACATAAATATTTACATGTAAAAAAGAAAAACCAAAGGGATATAAAGTAGGCTGTAAACGTAAGCTGCTAGCCTACAAAGAACAGTTCACAGCTATAATCATTTTTAAAGAATTATTAAATATGGCAAATTATATACCAACATAATACAGTGTTCCAGATTATAAATCTAAGTTTTCATTTTACTGAAAACTGTAAGTTTGCTCACACTAGCTTTTATTGTACCCTAAGTAAGTTTCATCAGAGCTTTTGGAGAAGTGAAATCAATCACTGATGAATTTATCTTTTTTCAACAGTAATTTAAAAATTCAAACTAAGATTTTAAGTTGGAGGGTAGGATGTATATATGTCAATTTATATATAGTATACCAATATTATGATATTGCTATATATGTTCTTAATGTGATGACTTACAAAGTTTGACATTATGAAAAGAAAATTATTTACTATTATAGGCTTGAGGCAGAAATGAGGTCTTGATAAAAGTACTTATGACCAAAGGTGCACCCAAAACCAAAAAGCAATAATGTTTAGCATTAGTAGCTGCATTTACATAACATATCTAGAAAATGTCATGCATTTTCAAGCATTAAACTTGATTCACTCAGGCTAATTTCAAAAATAGAATATACCTTTGGCCTTAGTTTTTCTTTTGGCTACCCCACCAGGTCCTTCTGTTGATATTTACAAGATGAAAATAGGTTATAAACAAAATATTAAGATAACTGAAAAATAAGTATCTACCTAATAGTTAAAATTAAAGTGTCTGTTAAACAAATTAAGTTAAATGCACCATTTAAAAAAATACACTCCTTCAACATATATCATTTATGTCATTTTAAAACCATACTTTCACTGTAACAGAAAAATGCATTATAATCAGCCTATGATTTACCATATTTGCCATGTATAATGGACACTATTTTGCCCAAATTTTTGAGGGAAAAACAAGACTGTGCATTCCATAGGAATAATGTGTATGATTCATATTATACATGGGAATTAGTACTAAAATGTGGGTGCCTATTATACATGCAAGTGCATTATACACAGCAAAGTACAGTAGTCAACTTCACAAGTTGCCTTAGACATGAAAGACTTGTCGCCTTTAGAAATGTGTAATTATCATGGGAAATGGCGCCTCCTTCTCAGGGGTGCAATGATAGTCAGTGGACTTCTCCTCGCTGATCGGATGATCAATGGCAAGACCCAAAAGTGAAAGGACCTGGGGATTTTACTTCCGTACCAAATCATCATTATCATCCCCCCCAAAAGGATAGCATATTTCAGTAGAATTTTAATCTTTACTGTTTGAATAATCATTACTTTTTCCCACATAGTTTCAAACTTTATTTAAAATTTACACAAGTAAGAAATACACTGTTATGAAGGTATATATTAAGCTTGTTGCCCTTTATCTAAAATCTTTGTAACAGCTTTTTATTTCCTCTCTTGGCCAATGAAAGTAGTGATAATGGGTTTACTTTTAACCCTCTAACAAATGTCAATACAAAATCTCTCTCTGTACACTCTTACCCCATACAAGTTCTAGTTAGCATTCCAGCCAACCGATGTTCCCCTTGTCACATAAATCCTTTGTTATTCTCATGTGTCAGCACACTTTCCCAAGGGGCATTCCAAGAGGACAACCCATTTCCCGGGCCAGCGATTTGCAACCTTTTTCATCCCACAGCACACACAAACTCTTGCAGCACACTGGTTGAAAATCGCCGTCCCGGGCACATCAGGGTGGGAGGTACGGTGATCAGTGTTCCTCCCCTGGGAGGCAGCAACACGTACAATCTGCCACTCGACAACTGAGGTCACAAGAGAGCCCCCTAAGCCCTTTTACACTTATTCCCGCTGGAAGCTGCAGCAGTCACTCCCCGCTGTTTCTCCAAACCGTAATCACACTCCCACTTCCAGGTTCCATCAAATGACACAGTCCATTGGAAAATGGTAATTTATTTTTGTTGAACTATCCCCATCATCATCCTGAGAGTAAAAGTATTGGTATGTCTTACCACTGACTACATTTTCATTTTTATTTTTTTATGAGTTCAGTTTTCTTAATTTTTTAATTTTTATTGTATTTTTTCCATTACCATTTAGTCCCCTTATATCTCCCACCCCCCACAATCACCACACTGTTGTCCGTGTCCATGAATCCTTTTTCCTTTTTGCTCAATCTCTCCATCCCTTATTCACTCCCCACTCCCTGGTAGCTATCATCCTGCTCTCCATCTATGACCCGAGTCGGTCTCTATTTTGCTTGTTAGTTCAGTTTGTTCCTCAGATTCCACATGAGTGAAATCATATTGTATTTGTCTTTCTCTGACTGGCTTATTTCACTTACCTATTCCATGTAGCTTTCTATATCTGTCCAATTACTTGATATACATATACAACCATAACCAGTGTGTGATGACAATTACTTTTCCCAGAAGAACCTAATCCTTTCCCAAACTCTACTGAAAACAGCATGCCGCCTTACAATGCTGTAGTCTTTCTCAGACTGATTCTCACTAAAGTTTATTTCAGAATAAAAATTATTCTTATAAGGTCAACTTTATATATAGGTATTATCCAATGTACAAACTAAATTAGCATAAGTCATTAAAATGCACTGTTAATGATGCTAATGTCCCCTGAGTCCTGCAGGTTCTTGAAATGCAGCCCTGGATTTTTCTGTTAAAAATAGAGCAGCAAAAATCAGACTATGTACTCTCTACACCCACTGTAGTCAAAAGAGCTATACTGGTGAAAAGGTTAAAGTTAACTTTTTTACTAATAAACTAAAGTATTAGATCAGCATCAGATCAATGATACAGGAAAAATAATAAGTACTTAAAACTTTTGCATTTTGGGTATAAATCCTTAAAATGGTACAAATTAACAATGTGCAATGTATTAATACATAAAATTCCAAAGTACCAATTTAAGCTACTTTTCCTAAACTTAAAGAATATAGTGAATAATTTTTCAATGCTTTTGACATGACAAATACTGAGCTGATAATTTAAGTCACAATTATCATATTCAGTCTCTGAAAGAAATAGTATAAACTTGGAAGAAAGCACAGCTCTTGGAAAACTGGAACTTAATAGAAAAGCCCCTAAGTATTGAAGAAAAGAGAAAAGAGTCAAAAAGAAATGCAGTTCTAAAAATCAAAGGAGCTTTTTAAGGAAGGAAGGCACGAACAAAGGTGTAGAATGAGGACACTGCTGAATTAAGCTAATTATTAAATGTCCCATAAGGTTCTCCAGATTACAGTTTCACAGTACAAGAGGCGGTCACATTACAGTGATGAGAAAACACTGGTATGCAAAAACACAGGGTGCTAATGAGGGCCACTCTTACCTCCTTAGAAGAAAACTGATCATATATGTATCAAGATTCCCAAGATTCTCAGGGGGCACAAAAGGAGTAAAGTTTTGAAGAATTTCCGTTGTATTTGTATGCACTGAGGGCAAGAGAAAAACAAAGGCTTGCCTAATGCAAAAAGAAACTGAGTTAATGAGAAAGGGTGAAAATGATGAGACCAGAAGAAGCGGGTGCAGACATAAGGGAAAAGGTTGGCTTTGGAAACCAGGAGATGCCACATCTGAAAAAAATGACCAATGAGAGAAGAAACGATGATTCAAAAACTAAGAGTAAATAAATGTCATACAGCGTAAACAAGGAAAAATAATGGAACCCAAACCATGGCTGACTACCTTAGAAAAGGAGAAAGCAAAATCACCTCTACAGAGGAAGGAAGATGGAAGAGCTGAAAAGTCTGGAATACCTACTGAAGAGAGTAACTGTTACATCAGTGAGCACCTCACAGAGGTTTGATTCAGGGATATTTATAACAGTCCTTTCTCCAACCAGCAGTGTGAAGCCCATTGGTGCTCCAGGATTAATGACAGCATGTAGAGGGGAAAAAAAGACAAGTTTGGGGAAGCAGAGAAGTGGCCCCAGAGAAAAGCACAAGGCATATATGTAAGACTTTGCTTTTATATAATTCCTAACTGTAGGCAGAATTAATTTTTTAATCATTTATAACTATGGTTGATGAGGAGTCTTTACAGTGTCAAAAGTCAACAAGGGCAACCCTATTTTTCCAGGAAGGAAAAAAGGAAACAATTCTATCAAACAATAAAATTCCTGATAATGCAATAACTCCTCAAAAATAGCCTGGAAGTAGTATGGAGAAAGTTAATCAATTAGAGACTAACAAGGAAGCGTATTTGGTATTCTGCAACCCATTTGGATAAGTTATTTTTCTTGATAGAATACATTCTAATTGAAAGGAGTCATCAAAGAAGCATTAAGATGTGATTGCAGCCAAAGAGAATGTCAATAAATAATCACCATGTTGTTTACTTCCTTTTTGTCCTGTGTATTTATTCTGATGGTTTCTAAGTAAGTATTATTAATGGAATTGTTGACTATTTGGAAATTCTCATACAGAAATTTGAAAAAAGCAGGTCTAATTTTCTCTCTTTAGAACATGAAGGAGTTGCCTAATGGTAATAATGTTATTTTGGCAACTGCCTCAGAGCCACATATTCCCCCACATTTTTAAAATGAAATGTTCTGTTTGAAATTAACATGCCCAATCATTAAGCCAACGGTTGAACCTGGAGTCCCACCACATGCAAAGACATAGCTTTAGAAGACTGGCTCCCTTACAAAAGCCCAAGCAGCTACTGCAGATCTTCAGAGCTGGGCACAGAATGGGTAGGCAGGCTGGGGATTGCTTTATACTTAGGTCATTTCAGTCACTCCCATAGTCCCTGGTGAGACCTGTGAGTCACTGTGAGCCTCAGTTTATTATCTTACTCCTTTTCATACCAAAACATCATGATTTATTTCAACATTGACTAAAGACAGAAAAGAGGCCCAACCACCTAAGAAAACTAAGTGAACTAAGTGAACTAAGCAGACCATTTTTCTAAAAGGAATGTCTAGTTTTGGTAAAATGCATGTCAGGACACACTACTCCTCTTTACATTTTTAAATAGACAGTGTAACTATATTATCACAGACATTTTGGGGAAAAAAGGAAACCTTAAATCTTCCAGCCTTATATGATAAGTAGGGAAGGATTAGAACATAACAGAACTGAAAGACTAGATTTAGGAAGAGATTACAGCTAGAGTTTGACTAAGGATAAAATGCCAATTCAAATACAAATGAAATACCTGGGGGAGATCATTGAAGACCTCTGTTAGTGTAAGTCAGTTTATTGTATAAACTTCAAAATGTCATTTCTCTTCAAAAAATATGTCCAATAATTGTTTCACTGATTTAAGATGGCTAAAAACAAAACAAAACAAAACAAAAAACCTTAGTGTCTTACTGTGCAATAGGTGACTCCTAAGGTTCTTACTCACCAGGACTAACATGAGCAAATATTTAGCAAACACCGTATGTCAGACTAAGCATAGAAGAGAGATTCAAATGAAACCTAAGACCTGGTTCCTAACTATTCAATACCTATTCCTCTGTATTACGTGGTTATTTCAACGAATAACCAAGGCAGGGAATTCGACATACTGTTTCGTCAGTCAACTTGTGATAATAAAGTCTGAGTCACTGAATTTCATTCAAGTGCTTCAAATATATACTGTGATCAAAGAAAATTCCACAGCCCAAATCACAGAAAATGTCTTACTTTGTTTTATAGACCAGAACCTTATATAGAAAGGATCATTGAGTATCAATCCTCCAAAGGTATAACTGCCAACTGCACAAATTAAGAATAATTATCTATGTCTATATCTGCTTTTGATAATTCTCCAAAGTTATAAACAGCAGTATAAACAAGAAAATATTTTGCTCAGTCTAGCTAACTGTGAAAAAACAAACAAACCAGAATTCAAGCAGAAAGAAAGTTTTTCTTACATGTGTGGATATAGCTCTGTAAGATAGGGAGGTAGTTAGTGATAGGGGAACTCAAGAGCTAAAAAATTTTTAGCTTTAAGTTACAGTTAATAAGCTTAGTAATTAATATATATGAAAAGCTATTGTTCCAGGAAGTGGAAGTACAACCCACCCTAACTCCAGGAGATGCACAAGCAATTCAACCTTTGGGACACAGATAAAGAACGGATGCTAGGAAAGCTGCTGGACTGCAGCTTTTATCTGATTAGCCTTTTCTGTGAATTCCAACCCCCTTACCCACACTTTTCTTCTCTTTAAAAAAGGTCAGTTTGAGATGAGAAGTAAGACAGTCCTTGTAATCCACCATCTTCTCAGGTTGCCGGCCATCTGAATCAAGTACCCATAGAGATTCAATCCTTGTCTTTAAACTTATTGGTTCTAGTAGTGACAGGCAGAACAAATGCCAACTCTTCCTGTTTTAGAAGTTTCCAGAATAAAGAATGGAGTACACGATGAAAAGGCTGGCTCCCCCAGCATTCCACTAAGTCGCAGGGTCTGCGTGTCTCACAGGCAGCCAGGACGCAGCAAGGCCTCAGAAACGGAATAAGTAAGATCAGCACCTGGAAGACGTTTCTCCAACTGACTTAGACTGCACCACTGATGTCCCAGGGAAAATCAGGGCTGAAAACAGCTAAAAGAGCAGAAAATAAATCCCTAAAGTGCCAATTCCTTGTTTTTGCGCCAAACTCCAGAAAACTCAGGGACTTTCAGTTGGACAAACGGCCATGTGTGTGAAGAAGCAGGAAGGGCAGCTCTGAGGAGACACACTGCATCTGAATGCAGAGTATATTCCTCAAAGTTCCTGTGGTTGTTCAAAATGGAAAAACACAGTAACTATAGTACAACTTTAAATTCTGTAACTATAAATAAATATTCAAGTGTACAGAATACAATTTTGCCTTTTGAAGTAAATTCCTCAGTTTAAGCTAGAAAAATATATTATGAAACAGAAAATTATACAATAAATCCTTAGAAAATTCAGAATGATAACATACATAATAAATAAAATTTAAGTGAGGCAATTTTGTTCAGCTTCAATATACTCTATACCAGTTTGCACACAACTATTTTCTCTCACCAAAACAAGCCGTAGGCACAAGTTGAAGGAAGTCACAGAAGTCAGGGGTTCAGCAGCTACCTGGGTTTTACCTTCCTCTGAGGCTTTTGCAAAGGGCTGGTTAAAAGGGGTACTAAATAAATGGCAAATTACGATCTCACACCCTTATTTTTCACTTACAAAAATAAAGCATAATTAATTTCTGCACATAGAATGTGTGTTAGTATCATGACCAAAAAAGAGCTTGTTGAGAAATTAATGATTCCAAACATTTTTAAACACACAAATTTAATTATTTACTTCCCATAAACTGATCAAACATCTTCCAGAGTTAGTAGTAATGAGGCATTAAGAAATAAGACTGCTTTAAAAAATATATCTCAGACATTTGGCTAAGTGAATTTCATTAAGAGTGTGGCCTAAGAATGCCTCTGAATTTAAACCTAATGAACTTTGATATTTCATAGTACTTAAATTCAAAGAGAAGATGCATTACATTTGGGCAAAAACTGTATCAACTTACAGAGAAAACATACTAAATCATACTAATTTGTTCCTGAATATTAACATTCCAAAATCAAAAGCTTTCGACTGTCAGAAATATTAACAGAATAAAATATATCCCCTGAATAATTAGGAAAGACAAACTAGAGTATTAAAAGCCATTTAAGCTTTAGAAGAGCACTGTCAACATACAACATATGTATTCACTTCTAAAAGTTAACTGCAAAAAAAAGTCTTTTTTTTTTAGAAGAAAAATGAGACTTAGCAAATTGGACAGTTTTCCCTGACATACGTAAGTGGTGAGCAGAGTATTCTGATTAGCGACCTACTTTCAGGCTATCATTTGACAGCCTACAAGAATGATTACTAACAAAGAAACTAAATCTCAAAAAAATGGGTGAATAATCCACCCACTGAAACAATTTTGATTAAATATGAAAAAATGAATATTTGAAAAGCAGGAATTATAGTTAAATAAAATGATTAAAATGCAACATTTTTTAAAAAAAAATTAAGCTCTAGGAAGAACCAAAGTTAAGTTTCAATCTCAGAGATTTAAAAACATGAAATCCTATTCCCTAAAAAAGTAAAAGAAACCAAAAGTCTTAGGTCTTTTTGCTTTCAAGCTGTAAGAGCTCTGTTTGAGGGAGGAAATGGATAAATGCTCATTTTAAGAAATGCATGTTATATGCGGCTAATTCAATTGCTTTCAATATTATTCAAGCAAGCTAACTTTAAATGAAGAGATTCAAGGCTGTTTTTAAGGCATTCTAATGGCAAAATGTTTTCCCCTAAAAAGAATTACCACTTTAATAAATTTAATTTATAAATCTAAAATTCATACTACACCTAAGCCAAAGTTGATAACCAGTAAATAAGGTAATACAAAAAAGAATGGAAAAAGACTTACTTAGGATGAATAATTTTAATATGTACATTATTTAAGATACATATTCACATTTACCTTCTTGTATAATATGCCTTTTTTTAAAAAATATACAAATTACTTTCTCTGGATGCATATTTGGAAATAAAATTAAAAATAATTTTGTTTTCATTGACAGAAATATTCAGACATACTACTATCTGAATACAGTAACTTAACTACCCTAAGGCAAAAACATGGGGTTATTTTCAAATTATTTTAAAAGCACCATTAACACAGAATTTTACATTGATGTTGGCATTAACCTATGTGACAAATCAGTTAACCTAAACAGATTACAATTTTAAAAACTGGTGTTTTAAGAACAATAGTTTTACACATCAGTCATGTTAAAGAGCAACAGAGAAGCATTTATTTATGAATCATGCTAGAAATATTCTGATAATCAAGTCCATTATACTCATCTTAATTAATAGTGTTAGAAAGACAAGCATCAAAGGTTAATCACAAAACAATTTGCTATTAAGTTTCTAGATTTAGTTCAGTGAATACATAAGCTGAAACAGAACGATACAGAAACCAATTATACCACCAAGAACATCATTGTCAATGCATTTCGTAGACAACTACAGGAATGAGGAATGCCACTTTCTTCACTAGAAGAGGGGAAGCCAAGCAAGGGACTAGCTAGGAGCTGGACTTTGGGAAAAGGTCACATGGTTGCTCTGTATTGTTTGATCACAGCTGCCCCACTGCGTGTTAAGCCCTGGGTGAGCAAAGGAAAGAAAGAAAAAGGAGACTGCTTCGGGTTTTCATAAGCCAATGACTTCAATCCCTGAATCAAAGTTTACTGGTTATGTAAATCCAAAATGACACAAGTCTTTCCCTGAACCCCTTCATTCTGTGACGTACCATCAACACCATCTGTGGTTTCGCTTTCTTCTTCTTCTTCTTCTAGCATTTCAAAAGGAGTCATTATATCATAGAGAAATGAGAGGAAACCATAAAACCAATCTGAACTTTCCTCTGCTAAAATATTAAGGACTTCCTCAAGAGAATCAATATTTTCATTACTGCCATCTTTGGTCAGGCCTACATAAGAATAAAGGAAGAGAGAAAGAGAAAATAAGGACAGCAGTTAGGTGGAAAAAAGATGCCAAGGAAGAGTGATCTCAAAAAGGATGTGCATCATGGTCACAGAAGTTTACAGAAAAGATATTTTGGAAAATAAAGAAATCGATTAAGATGCACACCTTACAATCAACTCTCAAACGTATGAACTAAAGGAAAGGCACAATTTGACCAATCCTCACCTTTCCTACCAGCCCCTAACCAGGTTTGTCTTTCTCTAATTAGAGATTCTAGAGCTGAAAAACACAAAATTGCATCAGCCAACATCGACTGAGTATTATCAATGGGAAGAGCGAGTAACAGCAGTATGAGTAAAAAGACAGACATTCTGAGCCACCATCTTTGTTCACTTACCAACCAGATATTACCAAGAGTTGATTATACAAACATTTACATACCTCCATGCATATTTCTTGAAAACAGAAAGGTCCATTTCCTCAAACTTTTCCCCTTAGGACCTAGAGTTAACTTGAGAAACTCTGAAATTACTGGATTACTCTTCACAGCCTCCATAGATGAGCATAAATGCTCTCAAATTGTGTCTAAGTCAGATAACTGACTTATATTTTAACACTATAAAATATGTTAGCTCTATAATTATCTGGCTCCTGATACATGGTCCTTTGATTTTGGCCAGTAATAAAAGTCAGGCATTAATAATAATTCACTCTGCCTATCAATGTGAAATTTGATCGGGACCTTAGCCAGTCATTTGCAATAAGAATATTCCAAAGCTCTGTCCCTATTAACCCAAGAAATCAGCTTCTACTGCAAAGACCGCAGACCCCTGTTGTTTGTAAGTCTTAGTCCCAAAACAGGCCGCTATCATATAAAATAATATTATTTTTATCATCTTTTTGTTGTTCTTTGTTATTTCTTTTGCCTGTGAAGGACTGGCATTGGATAGGAAAGGTCTCTCAATTCCAAAGTCACCAATCCTGCCAAGCTCTAGATAGCAAGGTCTATAATTCTGAGGAGGTGGTGAGGATGTAGGGTTCTGGCTGTAAAAAATGTAAGTATCTGTGACTTCAGAGGTGAAATTATAACTGCCTAGTTTAGTATTTCAGGCTTTGACAACACAGAATTCCTCCATGTAGCCAGCAATGAAGACTGGCAGAGTAATGAAGAGACAATAGTAAGATAGTAAGTATAAATATTAAACATTTTAGTAAATTTCCCCCACTTTAACTGGCAGAAGAGCTGTATCATGCCATTCTTCATTTATCTGGGGAAGAGGGGACCACAAATTGCACTTAGTATTTATAAAACATTTTTGAATAACCCCTAACATTTTTTTCACTGAATTTAACAATTGACAATTGCTATGAACAGAGATCTATATTCCCACCCAAGACTCTGTGGAAACACATTGTTTCTTCCTCCTACCTTAAAACACTATAGCTGTGTATGCAAAATAATTTTTATTCTTTCTGATTTTCCAATACAAGTACTTCCAAATATCAAATATAAAATATAAAACTTGACTGCCCTTCACTATGATAGGCTGCACTGTATGACAAATATGCAAAAGTATGTAAACAAAAATATTTTACCCAATTATGCAACTTTCTTGGGATTCTTAAGATAACAGTACTGAAAAAGTTCTGGGTATACAATTCCTTAACCTCTAAGAGCGGGCTCAAAGCGAAGAGCAGGGTATGAAAGCCTGTGAACAGGCCATACCCGGTCCTTTTCTCTCCCCAGCTCACTCATGCAGCCATGAGTCCTCTTCCAGTCTATAAAGGTTTATCAAGGCGTCCTTTCTGTTCTCCAGCCATACCTGATGTAGTACCAACTAGGTACTAGTCCCAGGACAAAAGGTCAATCATACAATCTTTCAGTGGTATTACTCTAAGACTACGTTATTCTTAAGATTTAGTCCTGGGATCAATTTGCTATCAGTTTAATTTGGTAAACAAGTTGTTAGAGAATATATTTTCAAACAATGTTGTTTTCAATTACCAAAACCAAAATCAAGGATACTTTATTTTAGAAAATTTGGCCACAAAAATAGGAAGCTATGTAAACTAGAACAGGCTTAGAATATTTTCAAAGTATACCTAAAGGGTTATGGCCAGAAACAATGAAATAATAAAATGAATGATGGCTATTGATCTTGATATACTCACACATATTTCATTCTTTCTATTCCACAAGAAAAAGCAAACCTTAAAATGAGAAAGAAATGCCAACAGAAATGCGTACATTTTCTCAAATTGATAATATTTAAATGTGTGCAGGTTTAAGAATGCAGAAAGAAATGCCAAAGCTATTCAAGTTAAACAATCTCAACTATTACCACCCCTACCATGCCAAGCTCTCCCCATAATCTCCAAGTTCCCACTTTTGTTCATCCCTTTCGATACTCTCTGCCTTAAATCCAAATCCCTTCCCTTCAGTTGTCTCTCCAATGAGAATGCACTCACGGAGTTGGGCTTCTTTTTGGGCATATGCTCACTGAATTTGCTCCTCTATAACCTCTTCCTGAACATACAGAGCCCATTAATGTCTCTGTACCCCAAGAATTTCACCAGGCTTCCTTTCTACCTGCCAGTAATAGAGGCATATCTAAACTGCAATAACCTCACAAACTAGGAAGGAACTTCAGTCATAAACTTCAATTCTGGTCAAGGCTGCATTTCATGCAGAGAATTCAAACACCATAGCAATAAGGTCAAAGGACATAAGTGAGCCAAACCTGTGGTTTGTTCCATCTTTACTGAAGCCATAAGCCAACTGTGAATTAGTACATATATATGGCAAAATTGTTTATCTGAGCCTCTGTGCACTTGGTAGTCAAATTACCAAAATGAACTGAAATTCACCAAATTTAATTACATCTCCAAATATATAATGCTTATTAAAAAAAAGTTATGATTCGCCCACACCCTGTGTGTCTACCTACCTACCTGTAAATGGCAATATTCTAAGTTATAAGTAATTAGCCTGTTAATGGTTGCTCAAAAGCCTTAAAGGAAATAAACTCTTGAAATCTAAATGTAACACTAAAAATCAAGTTATTAATATAAGTCTGCTATACCAATCAGTGTTTTATTAAAAAAAAAACATTTAATTTTAATACTTGGCATTTCCTATCTGACAGACCAGATAATTGATTTAAAGCCAAAAAAAATCAATAACATAGAAATAGAAGTAATATTTCTAAAAATGAGGAACCTTGGCCCACATGAAGATATTTTTAAAATTAAAAAGCTTCACTACTCAGAATCCATCATTTAATATAAAGTAATAAAATGGTGCAATAAACCATTTATAGGCAAGCAAACCAACATCGTTCTGATGTTAAATTCCACATAATTTTATTTGTTTTGCATGCCAAGGATTATAGTCTTCTGAGATTCACTATATTTATATAAACAAATTTAGCTATGTAATAACAGAATTACATAAAAAACTTCATTAAGGTTAAGATAGAAAAAGGAATTTCATAGATAGTGAGCTTTCACTGTTGAGCAATAAATATAATTCCCGCTGAGCAATAATAAAAAGTAAACTAAATTTAAGAAGCTATATTACATTTAATCACAACTAAACCCTTATTTTTCATATGTAGGACTTAATGTTTTATAGAAAGTTTAAGATAAATCTACTGAAAACAGTTTCATTAGTTACAGATGTGATATCCTCTCATTTTTTTCATGTCCATAAAATACACAGAAAACTGTGTGTAGAGGAAGAATTTCTTTGTGCCATTATTTTAAATGTAGTGTATAATGCCATATTCATTATTATTCTGGAGACTTTAGTACAAACAGTTTGAATACATATTATGTTACATACTAAAGCAAAGGAAATGATGTGGTTTAGTAAGCGGAAACACATCTCTCTCCAGGCCACATTACAGAAAATGTGCATATTAAAACCAGTACCATTCTTTCTAGTAAAACAATATTTTAAAACAAATGAGGGAATATCACATATTTATTTACTTATTAGAAGAAACATCTCAATGATGAAGACAGGTAAAGAGAAGGGCTCAAGACTTCCAAAATAAGACTGGCCAAAAACTACTAATTCAGATTTTTAATGTTACCTTTATAATATACACAGTACAATTTTAAGATGTTTATTACCACTTTTTTATTTCAAAATAAATTTATGTAACCTTTTAAAACTTTACATTTTGAACTGGAAGTGAATTTTGTCAAATGATGCTAAAGAATGCTGTAATTACCATATATGAAAACAGACTGACACATTATCTATATGTTCAAATGTTAAGTTCAGAATAGAAAGTGCTTTAAATCTGAAAAATACGTATCAAGTTGTTATACTTATTAATAGGGTATGTTAAAAGCTATGTGCTATCCACTTATAAAAGTAAATTGAAATGTGATTCCATGGAAAAATAATTAAGCTATTTAACATTTCAATAAGAATAAAACATATGATGTAAGCAGGAAAATATCTTTCATAAAATGTATACAACTGACATAGATATGATCAAGGGAAAAATATTATTTTGTTTCCAGCATTTTACCAACACTAACAAAAAGTAAAATGTCTACTTGCCTAATAAAACTTTGGCATCATCCACATCAAAATCTCCATCACCATCAGCATCATAGACTCCTAGTTTTCCTACAAGAGGGGAGGAAAGACGGGTAAGGGAACAAAAGGAAAAACAAATTTAATAAGCTATACCACTAATTGGAGTCCTTCACATCAGCCATAAATGTTACCAAGCAATACAATTCTTTGCTCTTTTAATCCTGAAAAGCAGCGCTAAATGAATATCTTACCTAAAAATCATGGGCAATTCACTTAGAGACTCAGGAAATGTTCACCTAACAAATCTAAGAAATATAACTGAGATAATATTTTCCTTATAGGTTTAACAATACTCTGACTTAATCATTTCAGATTTCTTTTCTTTTAAAAATTATACTGATCCAAATATTTTAGGTAAACTTTTCAATATATACAAAGAATAATATTGACCCATTTCTACCATCACATGAAACAATGCTTCTAAAGTATGAAAGTTCCACTATCAATATTCAAAACAAAAGGAACAAATACCAAGACTCAAATAAAGACTAAATAACTGAATTGAGTACAAGTACTAAAAATTAGGGGGGCAATTAATTTTATATTTTACTATAATGATTTACAACAGAAACATCATAAATCAACCTTTAAAAAAAAAGACTTCTGAAAATAAAGTATGTAAAAGTGGTTTCCTGAAATCACAGAGGAAAACTTAGTTATCCTTAGTAGTGGTTGGCATTGGCCATCTACTAATAAGAAAAAAATAAGGCTTAAAACGGATAACCTGAGAAGACAATACTACCAGAGCCCTTCCTGATAAAGAATAGTAAATATGTATCTTAAGGCTTTGATAAAGTTTTATCATCTAGGAGCAATGTTACATTTACCATTTCAAATGAGTCAAATACATTCAATTCTTTAAAAAATATCCTAAAATCAACATGATTGATAATTCACCATTGGACAATAACTGTGAAGAGACATAATAAATGTATAGCAATATTTTAGACAACATTCACAAATCCATCCTTAGCCCTAAAAAACCACTTGGCAGCACTGTTACCACTTCTTTAATAAAAAGTGTATTAAAATATTACAGAAGAGCAAACAGAACTTTTAAGAGTAGAGCAGCTATGACCCATCTTTACCCTCACGGAGCCCTTGTTCTACTTAGGAAAGCTTACTATGTAGAATTCTGATTTAGAAAGTACACACATCAAATATGACAAGAATAATAATGGAGAGTTACTATTTCTATTGCTAAGAAAATGAAAAGCACATTGATCTTCAGGTCGAGGTTACATGTAGCACAGAGCTCAACGTTAGAAACATGAAAAATATTATGATGTCTGACAAACTTAAAAAGGGACATTGGTCCTATCACTTATATTCTCTGATACAGGTGACAACTGAATTAGCAGAATAAGGATGAGATTTTAGAGACTCACACCAGTGAACTTAGAATGCATCTCCAATAGCCTACCTTGCAGTACCTCTGATAAGTTATAACGGAAGTCCTTTGCTTTGGCTGCATGCATGTAAAAACATGAAAATTGTTACTTGTGCTTAAATGTACAAATATTTGAAATCTCTTGTTTTGTTATAGACTTCCCCTAACAACATATAAGTCAACAAAATCACGACTTACATAGAAGTTTGACTCTACACTAAAATACTTTGCTAGTCTATCATATACCAAAAATACTTAAATAAAAATGAGAAGCTTCAATGAATGGCAGATTACACATAAGTATATTTTCCTATTCTTTGCCTTTCCCCCCACCTCAGAAAGATGGCTGTAATCTAATAAGTAAAGCAGTACAATAGGGCCTATGGAAGAGAGAGGTTTCTCTGTGCATCAGTGTACGTATAGAGAAGTGTGCATTTTGTTCAGTGACAGGGTCCACAGTTTTCCCTGAGTTATTAAAGAGGAAGGCCATTTATTCACAATAGCCAGAAGGTGGAAACAACCCTAATGTCCACCACTGATGAACGGAAAAGCAAAATATTCCATACAATGGAATATTATTCAGCCATAAAATGGTGTATTAAACCTTGAAAATATTAAGCTAAGTGCAAATATTAAATCACTGTGTGATTCCATTTATGTGAAATGTCCAGAACAGGCAAATCCACAGACACAGATAGTGTATTAGTGTTTGCCAGGAGAGAAAAGGAGCGGGCAACTGGGTGTCCTGGAGGGAAGGGGCGTTGGAAATGCTCTAGAAATGATGATAGCACAAAATGATGAATATATTACAAATCAGTGAACTGTTGACTTTCAAATATTTATGGTATTAAGTTTTCTTATGTGAATTTCATGCAAAATTTAAAAAAGGGTGTTGGTTAGGTCAAAAAACAGTATGCCTCCAAAAATGACAAAGAATCATTAATGCAAACACTCATGAAAAATTGCAGTGATTACAAAGAGAGAAAAGGAAAAAGGAGGAGAAAGGAGGACAACTATCACAAACAACGGGGCAACCTCCTCACCACAGCACACTGACCGTACCTACACACACACACACATCAGTTCCATCAAAGACACAGAGGGGCGTGCTTCGAAAGGCTCGCTAAGGCAAGGTCTCACGAATGGTACGTTTATGATCCATTAATGGATCCTTAAATAAATTCAGTGGTTCATACCAGTAATTTTAAAATTTGTAATATAAAAGAATATAAACAATGGAGTATTGCTTGCAGTGAGAGTAAGTACTGTTTAATAAAACTTTTCTGTGTGATATATGTACAATATAAAGCACCCCCCCTTTTTTTTTTTTTTTACTATGGAGCATGTTCAAAGAAATTGAAAAGCTGGTCTCCAAGGTAATGCTGATAACATCCCTTTTTCCACTCTACTGAGAAGCACTGAAAGGCTACAGAAATTAACAGTATGAAAAAGATACTGATAAATCTTTAAGATTACTAAGGGATGTAAGGGATGTCATTGATGCTCTTACAAATCCACATAAGAAACGATATCAAAATTCTTACCTAAAACTTCTTCATAATCAACAAGATCAAACCAGACGACAGCTACTGATGTCCAGACTCCCAGCAATGCAATGACCATAAACCATGTAAAAAATGAACTTCCAGAAAGTACTCCTTTCTTTCCATTCTTGTGTCCTCCATGCTTTGTGTCTATTTAAAAAGAAAATGATGTACCTTGTCATGGTGTAAGAAAATACTTTATCAAACACGTCTTTTCATTGAATTATTTCTCTAGTAATTTGATAATACTTACAATGGTAAGTCATTTCAAACCTGTTATCATATAAATTCTTAAAACATGTTACACAAAATAAACATTTAGTAAATGAAAGATTCTGCTTAGACTCAACACAATGTATGTAAAACCCTAACTTCTAAGTAATGAAAGAAATAAACTATTGATGGGCTAATAACTTTTTTAAAAATAAAATTTGATATAATATGTATGTTCCTTCCTTCTGGATTCTTTATCTAAACTACCTGAATACTACCTCCTTCGAAGTTCAGAGCATTTACTGACAATTTAATGAAATCATACAGAAATGTAATCAAATCCTGTTCTCTGTCCCATTTCAGTTTCTGTAGAACCTTAAAAACTCTGTTAACTGTCACAGAAAATATCTTCCCCAAACCACTCTATATTTTTGGCCAAAGAGGGACAGAAGAAGGAAAGAAACAATTTATCGGACTAGTGATCTGCGAAGGAGAGAAGTCAAACAGTGCAACAGTTCAGCCCCCTCCTTTACAAGACCCACTGGGCCCAAGGGAAACAGGAAGAGGCTCATTCACAACTGTTCTCATTGCAGGAAACAGTTTTGTAAACTGCCGCTACCTCTAAGTGTCATTTATCATATTTGACATGTTTAATATACCTTACATTCTTCAGGAAATAGTCTTCTTACAGCCAAAAATAAACAAAAATGATGAAAGTCAAGTAGTAGTAATTTAAAATAGTGAACACTGTCCTTAAGAGGGAAGCCTATCATTTTCAAGTTTCTATTTTAAAAGAACATAAAAAATATAAATATTAATAATTAAGTTAAAAAGGTATGTCATATCCTAAAATACCCTGTGAGAAAAGGAAAAGTTTATCAACCAGGTAGAAAAGCAGGACACCGCCTTCTACTTTTTGAACACGTGTCATCTCTATCTCTTCAAACTGCTTCCACGTGCATGGCTGCATGTGATCCTCACAATGTTCGTGCCAGAGTCTCTCTAGAGGGCATTTCTGGATGTTGATACAGGACAATGCTTCCTCCCGTGTGGCTGTTCATTACACTGCAGAGCCGCTGGCTTCCCTAGTGTCTGCTAGTCCCAAAGATAATAGCTCCCAGTGATTATGACAAGAACTCTCTCAAACATTACCAACTGTCCTCCACAAGGGCAGTGCCTGGTAGAGAACCACTAGGAATAAGGACAGGAAAAATTGTCTCTGTTTGTAGAGAAAAGATTAAATGATTCACCCACAGTCGCCAGCACAAGTCAGGCAGAGCCAGGAACAAACCCTGACTTCACTGGACCCGAGTTCTGCGATCCACGCACGAGTGGGCCAAATGACATGATCTCCAAAGACCTGATGCGCTCCAATTCACAACCTGCTTTCTGACACCTACATCCAGTTCTAATTATGGTAATAATTTCCAGTGGCTCAAATCAAAAATCCACTGCCAATTCTTCTGGATGAAAAAAATAACCTTAAATTCTCCTTGTTTAAAAAATATATGCATTTTTTCAAACCAACCAGTAGATCAACTTTTCAAAAGGTGCCACAAACACCAAATCAGTCTGAAAGTATACGTGTACGTGTGCGTGTGCAGACGCACTCAAACATACACATCTTTATCTACATATCTATATGTAAGTATATAAAATTATGATGACTGAGACATATTTCATTGTTAAAGAAAAAGTAAACTTTCTTTTCAACTGTTCTTTAAATATTAACAGACTGACCAGAAAAGGGCCGGATTTATAAAGAATCATATGGTAAATTCACAAAAGTATACTTATCCAAAAACATATGGTCATCTAATTTCTTTCTAATATGATCTATTAAAAGTCTCCTAAAAGCTGGTTATATAAAAACATAATTTATACAATAAAAAATACTTGCCAGGCAGAAGCTGCATATTAAATCCACTTAAAACATACTGTTTCATTACCTGAATATCACCATGAGAGGGGGAGAGGCCAGGTGAAAATTTCTGCAGTGCTGGTGAGGGGGAATGATGGTTTTTGGTATTTTTATGTGCCTTAAGCACAGAAAGATAAGAACGATATAAAATAAACCACCCAATAAATTTTTTAAAAAGGAAAAAATGAGGAGCTTCTGTGGGGGCACAGGAGCACCACAGACACAGTAGCAGTGACATGCGTTTCATTTATTAAACATCTATACACACAAAGACTTTTTAAATACTGTATAAGAAAACCTTATTTCCATATAGCATGTGGATATATGCATACACACCCATTTGTGCAGAATACTTACTATAATAAAAATAATGCCTTCTGGAGTATTCATTTACTCCCAAATACAGAACTATAATAGACTATAATAAAATTATAATGACTAAGAATATTGCTCCCTTGACTACTCGTTGCCTCTAAGAAACAAATTTAAATTTTCTACTTAAGATGAGAGTAACATTGCAAGAAAACTGGGTTCTTAACTCCTCTCGGACATTCTGTAATTGACACCAGTGTCTTGTATTGTTTCCAAGTAACTAGAAAATAATAAGGCTAAATATAGTTCATCCTTTTATTCATTCACTGAACATATTTATTCAGCATATGTGTTAGACATGATATAATTTTTACTCAATAATTACGTTTTCAAAATGTACCTAGATAAAAGTACATTCAAGATGATGCTATTTACAGAGGTGAGGGAACAGGTAGAAAAGGTGAAGGGAAATAAGAGATACAAACTTCCAGCTATAAAATAAATGTCACAGGGATGTAATGTACAGCATAAAGAATATAGAATAGTAAAATAACTTTGTACAGTGACAAGATTTATTGTTGTATAACTTTGCAAGCTATATAAACGTTGAATAACTGTCACACGCCTGCAACTCATTACAGTATTTATTGTATGTGTACTATACTTTAATAAAAAATTTAATAAATAAAACTTTTTAAAAAGACAACAGCTTCAACAAGAAAGAAAAGACAACATTATTTATCAATAAAATATGCTTATAGAACAAATAATCATTTGATTTCAAAGTTCAGTTCTTTCTCCATTTCTACTGCTTTCTTGGCCTGTCGGGGTGACACCCATCCAGCGATTTTCAACCACTGTACCGCGGAAGGCACACCGGCGCGCTGCCAGGGATTTTCAAACATGCAGTACCTGACTATTTAGTCAGGGGCACTGACCTCTTTTCCCTTCGGTTGCCAAATAAAAAAATGACAACAGCCAACACAACTATAGCTGTCCAGTGTGAATGTATCAAAATTATACCTTTTTTTGGTCAGATTGGCAAAAAATGTGTTTTTTGGTGTGCTGCAGAACTTTAGTAATTAGTTTATGTGTGCCATGAGATAAAGAAATGTTGAAAATTGCTGCTCAACCAACTGAACTACCTGGCCAGGGTTTCTATGTCTTTGTTGAGGCAGAAATGAAGGAGGATAGTTTCTGAGATTCTCAAAAGGGAAGTATCATTTATCCAAGTTAATTCAGAAATACTCATTGAAGTGTTTGACCTGCAACACCAAATATAAGTAAGAAGTGGAAAAAGGTTTTTAAAAATAATTATATAAATTCATGCACCAAAACAGAAAGAAGGCATTGGGAGGGGGAGGAGAGAGAAAACACATACAGTAAAGGACACGCCTTTACCTAAAATCTGTTTAGGTTTGTTTTCAACATGATTCTAACAACTTCAATCAAGTGTTCCAGCTCATTGCATAAAATTAAAGAGCAGATTTTAAAGACAACCTAACCCAAATGACTTAAAGCAACGAAGTGCTGATGGAGAGAAGGCCTATAAAAGGCATGACTCCAGCAGCAAGAGTGGACACAGGAACTTGAAGGAACAGTGGCAGGAGGCCATTTATGATTGATGCTTGTAGGCAAAACGCTGAACAGTCTTAAAATAATCTTCGGTACCAGGCAATAATGACCTTCATATTGATTTTGCCATTAAAACTTTAAATTGTTTCAAAGTGTGAGAAATGGATAATAAATCTTAGATTTTCATTCAGCATATTTTTATTAAGCAGATTTATCACTTTAAAAGGGTCAATATTGCTTAGCTAGAATATGAATTTATTACCAATATTTTATCCATCCCTTTATAATGTCAAATAATTTAGGTTTTACTCTAGCATTGTTAATCTTATTACTGTTATTATTAATTCCACCAAAAATTAAAACAGAAAATAATAGAAAGGAATATTTTCTAAGACATCTTTTTGGGAGAACTTTTTAATTGATACCAAATAATACACTCTTCATTTGTCACTTTGTAATTATAGTGTGCCTAGTCCCAAAAGGCAGATCAGTTTCTTCCCAATTAAAACTGAAAAACGCATAGTAAGAGAAACCCTTCAAGAGGGTTTAAAACTCCCTCAGCAAACCTGAAACCAGATTTTGATTCAACAGTATTCTGGAAGAACATCGAGTAGCTGTCCCTATTTTCTAAGACCAGGATAAATCTAAGGGTTTTCATGTCATTTTCTGGCTCCACATTCAACATGTAGTCCCAGGGATTAGTGAAAAAGGCTTTTTTTTTTTTAATGGGGATTAAGAATATCGCAAAACCAATGTGATTCATTTTTTTCCATGTTGACCCATCAAAAAAAAGCACGTGACCTTCAAATCAGAAAATGTTCTTACATACTACCAAACACAGAAAATATTACCACGGTAAGTAAAAAAGTATGTCTCTCTCCAAAATGAAGAGTGGGTCAGGGATGACAGGTCATTCTATTTGGTTGAGAAAAGGAAAATAGAAGATGTACCCTAGCACCTGAAGAGTAGTCAATTGCTTATCTTGACTACTTACTACTAACTGAATTACAAATCAACCATATACAAGTTTACTAGCATTATGCATGTAGTTTTGTATTTTTTATATACTTTATACATTTAAAATATTTTAAAAAACATTAAAATTGTCAAGTAATTAATCAAACTAATC